GGATATCCGACGAGCAGTATCTCGCCGACGAGCAGGATCTCCCTGACGAGCAAGAGATATCCGACGAGCAACATACGTTCGACGAGCAGGATCTCGCCGACGAGCAAGAGATATCCGACGAGCAGGATCTCTTTGACGAACAGCATACCTCCGACGAGCAGGATCTCCCGGACGAGCTGTAGATATCCGACAAGCAGTATCTCGCCGACGAGCAAGATCTCGCCGACGAGCAGGTGAGCAGGCGAGCTTCGAAAAATCCGACGAGCAAGATCTCGCCGACGAGCAAGAGATTTCCGACGAGCAGGATCTCTCCGACGAAGCAACATACCTTCGACGAGCAGGATCTCGCCGACGAGCAAGAGATATCCGACGAGCAGGATCTCTTTGACGAACAGCATACCTCCGACGAGCAGGATCTCCCGGACGAGCTAGAGATATCCGACAAGCAAGTATCTCGCCGACGAGCAAAGATCTCGCCGACGAGCGGGTGAGCAGACGAGCTTCGAAAAATCCCGACGAGCAGGATCTCGCCGACAAGCAAGAGATATCCTGACGAGCAGGGTGTCTCCGACGAGCAACATACCTTCGACGAGCAGGATCTCGCCGACGAGCAAGAGATATCCGACGAGCAGGATCTCTTTGACGAACAGCATACCTCCGACGAGCAGGATCTCCCGGACGAGCTGGAGATATCCGACAAGCAGTATCTCGCCGACGAGCAAGATCTCGCCGACGAGCGGGTGAGCAGACGAGCTTCGAAAAATCAGACGAGCAGGATCTCGCCGACGAGCAAGAGATATCTGACGAGCAGGATCTCTCCGACGAGCAACATACCTTCGACGAGCAGGATCTCGCCGACGAGCAAGAGATATCCGACGAGCAGGATCTCTTTGACGAACAGCATACCTCCGACGAGCAGGATCTCCTGGACGAGCTGGAGATATCCGACAAGCAGTATCTCGCCGACGAGCGGGTGAGCAGGCGAGCTTCGAAAAATTCGACGAGCAAGATCTCGCCGACGAGCAAGAGATATCCGACGAGCAGGATCTCTTTGACGAACAGCATACCTCCGACGAGCATGATCTCCCGGACGAGCTGGAGATATCCGACAAGCAGTATCTCGCCGACGAGCAAGATCTCGCCGACGAGCGGGTGAGCAGGCGAGCTTCGAAAAATCCGACGAGCAAGATCTCGCCGACGAGAAAGAGATTTCCGACGAGCAGCATACCTTCGACGAGCAGGATCTCGCCGACGAGCAAGAGATATCCGACGAGCAGGATCTCTTTGACGAACAGCATACCTCCGACGAGCAGGATCTCGCCGATGAGCAGGAGGTATCAGACGAGCTGAGGATATCCGACGAGCAGTATCTCGCCGACGAGCACGATCTCCCTGACGAGCAAGAGATATCCGACGAGCAACATACGTTCGACGAGCAGGATCTCGCCGACGAGAAAGAGATTTCCGACGAGCAGGATCTTTCCGACGAGCAGCATACCTTCGACGAGCAGGATCTCGCCAACGAGCAAGAGATATCCGACGAGCAGGATCTCCCGGACGAGCTGGAGATATCCGACAAGCAGTATCTCGCCGACGAGCAAGATCTCGCCGACGAGCAGGTGAGCAGGCGAGCTTCGAAAAATCCGACGAGCAAGATCTCGCCGACGAGCAAGAGATTTCCGACGAGCAGGATCTCTCCGACGAGCAGCATACCTTCGACGAGCAGGATCTCGCCGACGAGCAAGAGATATCCGACGAGCAGGATCTCTTTGACGAACAGCATACCTCCGACGAGCAGGATCTCGCCGATGAACAGGAGGTATCAGACGAGCTGAGGATATCCGACGAGCAGTATCTCGCCGACGAGCAGGATCTCCCTGACGAGCAAGAGATATTTGACGAGCAACATACCTTCGACGAACAGGATCTCGCCGACGAGCAAGAGATATCCGACGAGCAGGATCTCTTTGACGAGCAACATACTCCGACGAGCAGGATCTCGCCGATGAGCAAGAGATATCCGACGAGCAGGATCTCTTTGACGAGCAGTATCACGCCGACGAGCAAGATCTCGCCGATGAGCAGGAGGTATCAGACGAGCTGAAGACATCCGACGAGCAAGATCTCGCCGACGAGCTGTATCTCCCCGACGAGCAAGATCTCGCCGACGAGCAAGAGATTTCCGACGAGCAGGATCTCTCCGACGAGCAGCATACCTTCGACGAGCAGGATCTCGCCGACGAGCAGGAGATATCCGACGAGCAGGATCTCTCCGACGAGCAGAATACCTCTAACGAGCAGAATAACTTAGACGAGCAAAAGATATCCGACGAGCAACATACCTTCGACCAGCAGGATCTCGCCGACGAGCAGAATAACTTAAACGAGAAGGAGATATCCGACGAGCAGGATCTCTCCGACGAGCATAATACCTTCGACGAGAAGGACCTCGCCGACGAGCAGAATATATCCGGCGAGCAGGATCTCTCTGACGAGCAGAATACCTCCTACGAAAAGGATCTTGCTGACCAGCAGAATAACTTAGAGAGCACGAAACGAAAGTTTGAATTATTTGCAATGCGAAAGTTGCGAGCATAATTTGCATCGAGCAATTCCGCTAGAAAGAACGAAACGAAAGTTAGAATTATTTCCAATATGAAAGTTGCGAGCGGAATTTGCATCGAGCGAATTCCGTTAGAAAGCACGAAACGAAAGTTGAACCATTTACAATACGAACGTTGCGGGCAGAATTTGCAGCGAGCAAATTCCGCTAGGAAGCACGAGACGAAAGTTAACTATTTACAATACAAAAGTGGCGGGCAGAATTTGCATCCAACAGAGAGTTTAGCCAGTCAATTAACCCGAATTTATTATGTACGTTTATTCCGAAGGAATATGAAGCGGAGCACACTATTCGAAGCTATGGCAATGAGCATGCCGATAGGCGAGCGGATAAAGGGAACATAGGCTATCTCTCGCGAGAGGTAGACTCGCGGTAGCTCGCCTTCGATTGCGAGCCTAACCCCGAGTGGGGGACTAGTTGATCCGGCCAGGGCCACCCAGACGGCCCAATAAGGAGCAAAGGCTCATCAAGGTGGCTCTAGCCCGTTACCGTTTGCCGGATCCAGTAAAGACCAAAGGCCCAAGCAAGGTCAAAGGGCACCATTAAGCCCACTAAGAGAAGAAGGTCCATTAAACTGGTGTGCTCGTTAGGCGAGAGGGACCAAGCAGCGGGTCGCGAGTAACCCGCGAGAGAGAGAGGCCTCTCGCTGACTCACCCTCCCGCCAAGCTTCTCGCCAGACCAGCCCGGAGATGATTCTAGCTGCACATGGAGGCATTTAATGCACGTCCAATCCACTGACAGACGCAGAGGAATGTCGTTTCGGCCCCCTACTTTTTGCACATGCAGCCGCCAATGAAATGACATATTAAACTGCATTCAAGGTAATTTGGGGTCCGAATGCCTAAATTACCGCGATTGGACAGGTAAATTAAATTGAAGAATATTTGACGTTCGTCCCCTTTTTTAGTATAAATAGGGGCAATAAATACAGGAAAACCACAACGAAATCATATACATCAATTTCATACAGAAGCATAATATCTTCTTCTGGAAGTTACTGACTTGGCCGTCGGAGTGCTAACTCCGGCCTAAGTCCGGTTCTTTTCTTTCTTGTAGGTTTATCGTGGGCTCCGATCCAAGTTCAGGCCTACTCAACTTTCTAAACCAGCCCACCACGAATCCAGCCAGATCAATATATATGCAAGCCTTGCCCAGAACACGCCAACATCCTTCATCTCCCAGCAACACTGATGCAACCGATTGACAGTCCCATACCTTTCGTTCAATGATGAGTTGACTTGGTCGGTCCTTTTCCACCAGCAATAAGAGGACGCAAGTTCCTCATTGTAGCTGTAGATTACTTCACCAAGTGGGTGGAAACAGAACCTTTAGCTCGCATTCGAGAGGAAGACATCATCCAATTCCTCTGGAAGAACATCGTGTGCCGCTTCGGGATTCCCGTTCCATTATTTCAGACAATCGAACCCAATTTTGTAGAGACAAAGTAAAGAGTTGGTGCATTGGCTTATCTACTAAGAAATTCTTTACTTCGGTTGCCAACCCCCAATCAAATGGTCAAACTTAAGTACCTAATCGCACGATACTTCAACATCTTAAGACAAGGCTGGGAAGTGCCAAGGGAAAATGGGTTGAAGAATTACGCAATGCTCTGTGGCCATATCGAACAACCCCACGAACAACAACGGGGGAATCTCCATTTAACCTAGCTTTCGGAACAGAGGTTGTGGCACCCGTCGAGATTGGCGAACCCTCTTGGAGAGTCATCAATTATTCTCCAGAGGCAAATGAAGAAGCAATGAGAGCTAATCTCGATCTCGTCGACGAACTAAGAGAGATCGCCTCTATCCGACAGCAAATGTACAAGAGTCGCATGGCGAAAGCTTATAACTCCAAAGTCCGCCTTCGTTCTTTCCAAATAGGAGATTTAGTTCTCCGCAAAGCCGAAGACTCATGCCCAATTGGTAAACTCGCCCTGAAGTGGGAAGGACCGTATAAAATCACATAAGTGGTCAACAGTGGAGCATATCGTCTCGAGAACCTTGACGGACACCCTATACCCAGAACCTGGAATATAGGGAATCTCAAAAGGTTCTACGCTTGAGGTATACATCCACCTTACTTCAAGTTTAAGTTAGCATCTACATTTTCCTCATACCATTCGCTTAGAAACAACTACCCTTGCAGGCTTCGCAACCTTCCACGTCTCTCGTCTTGCAAAAATGTCTCTAAACACTCGAGACGTTCCCGCTCCATAACGAGGTGCGTAAACATCCCACCCAAACTGGGGGGCTCTTAATATTACCTACATTAGCATTCCATAACCACATCTCATCATCTTCTTACAGATTGAGAACCAATTACGAGAGGATGCCTACCGCCCATTACTTGCCCAAAGAGAGAAGATACTCCGTTCTATCTCACAAAGGGTAAACCACTTTTACTAAGTCATATCACATGCACATTCTTGGATATCTATACTAACATAGTAACGCCATCTCCTTTGACAGACATGATCGCGCAACAAATCACCGCAACTCACAAGTTGATCTCATATTTCGGAATGCGAGAAAGAGAAACAGTCCCCATATTGGGTACGTGACCCCAAAATACGCATCACCCCAACTTATGAAACTATTAAGTCTTCAATACAAGTACTTGAAATTTTTTCTACTATACTTTTCAGGCATAGAGACACCAAAGACAGTAGACATACCACCCATACACCAAGCATGGACGAGTATAAGGAAGACGTGGAAGAAGAATAAAGTCTTATAGTCACATAGACTAGTTTTCGATATTTTGACTTATTTGTTTTTTACAAGTTATTTCCCTTCGCCTCACGGAGGCTTATGACAATTCGCATTTTCCATTAATGATTAAATCAAGTTTTTGCTTTACTCTCAATGTTATTGTTATATACTACTTAACCGTTACGACGGGTTCATATCACTACAACCCTACAAACACTAAGAGAAATTAAGATAATCTATATAGCTTGGCCAGTTGGATTATCTGAGTGTCTCTATGTTGATTTACAAGGTCCTCATGTTTAAAACGTGGCCATGGTCCAAACAATATATACGACCCACGAGGCCTAAAATGGATGATCCCTATATACGCACAATGCTAAATGTAAAACATTAGTGCAAACTCAATAAATAAGAAGGGACAATATCTTTGATAGTAAAATCAACGTATCAATGTGCAAACGAATATAAAGTCATGAAGTATGCAAAAGTAATAGTGGACATACCCACTTAATAAAAATAAAAATAAAAAATAAAACTAAATCCTCTCCTGAAGAAAGTAAGAACATCATCACACCCAACTACACTTTACGAGCCGAAGTAGCTTCGGTAGTTCGGTCATCCGCCTCCGCATCCGAGGCTATTTCAGTACACTCGACATCGATATCCTCTCCCTCATCGGGAATGTCCCCCTCCATATCTCGAATAATCTTCTCGTCAATCCCACCAACCTTGCGTAAGTACTGACGGCACGTCCTAACCAACGGAGCATAAACCCCGGCTATCGTTCGTTTCTCGATCATCGCTCGACAGATATCACTCTTCTGAAAGCGACGCTCCCCTTCTAACATAACCGACTCCTTGTAGGCGGCTTCAGCTGATGAAGCCATAAACCTCTTTACCGTAAACTTCTCGGTAACATATTTCTCCTTCAGCTCGTCATAGCACCGATCTAGTTTTGTTAGTTCAATTTTACTTGCTTTGGTCTGGCTCCTACTAATCTCCAATGCATCGGTCCTCTGAATGAGCAAAGTCTGGGTCACCTCGAGTTTGGATTTCGCTGCCTCTAATTGAGCCTTTAATTCTTTCTCTCTTGCCTCTCACCCAACACGCTCCTCTTCATTCGTCTTTTCGACTTGCTTCTCCTGCTCCACGAGATACCTCCATGTAGCTATGAGCTATATAAAAATATAGACAGATAATATTAGATTATCGAGACTTATGATTTAAAACGAAAAACATATTAACTTAAAACAAATATTTACCCGACACATGTCTCCTCCGGCCAACGAAAGCATATGAGCACGACATTTACCCGATATCCGACTTCGGTCGTACTCCCCAACGCAACCCTCGGTCTTCCTCAGCCCGATAGTATGATCGGTCGTATCCCAAAAGGAATCCTTCCCTTCTCGATTCACCCCGTAAGTGAACAGGCATTTGCCTGCCCCCCTTGAGGCACATGAGAAACCTCAGGATCCACTCGAGGCCGTTTCGGTGCAGGCACATACTCGATCTCAACCACCTTATCCTTCCCATTTTTAACCACTCGATCCAGCTCATCCCCCTCAACACTATGATTACGATCATCTCCACTCACATGAGGGGCCTCCACGCGGGTCACTTCGCGCGATTTGCTACTACTTGATTTCGCTTGCTTCAAGGGGTCCCTCCTCGCTTGCTTTTTCGCACCTCCAGTAGCCTTAGCCTGAAGGGCCACAAAATCAATGCACCCATCTATAAAAAAAAAATAAAAATAAATAAAAAACACAACCCTTTACTTACAGGTGGATAAAAAAGCATAGCAGAGACAAAACAAAATAAGGCACATATACATAAATAAATAAAATGATGATGGTAAAAAATAAATCACCTGGGTTATTAAAGCTGGGAGAGCAAAGTAGGACACGTGCTCTCGAGCTAGCCAGGAAATATTTAGATACAT